ATAATTAAACTTAAATGGATTAAGCTGATAAAGAGACGTCCTGTACTTTGACTGTGTAGAAGCTTTTTTTGTGAAATCTACTCTATGGTAACGGTGCGTCCCATAGACGTGAAAAGCAGAGTCTACAAGACGCACCAGCCAGTTTACAGGTGCGCCAAGAAAGCAAAATAACGAAGTAAAAGTGTATGTACAATTAGCTATATATATTAAACTAAGTTTTAGACATAGGGCTGATATTTTTCTGACCAAGCAAGCTTGGTTAGGTTGCAAGATCATTTAGTACATTGTCCGGTCCAATACTTGAAAATGCTTGACCCGCAAATGGAACAATCTGATTGGTTGATTTTGGTTATTAACGTAAGGTAGTCGTTTAATAATAACCTCTTACTAACTGAGCGCGAGGGACGTACTGGGGGACATTGGCCCGAGGTCGTGGCAGTTCGGACCGAGCGCAGCGAGGTCCGTACAAAAGCGACCCAGCACAATATTCCCCAGGACGGCTCGAGCTAGCTAGGTTAGTAAGTAGCTTGTTATATGGCATTCGGGCTTCGCTTGTTTATTGAATTTTCTGGCTTTCGAACAGACACAGAAACACACGTCCTATGACCGTTTTTTATGTACGGTCCGTATGGCAAAATCCTGACCAAGAAAGAACCAATCAGAACGCTCCGATTTAGTTCTTGCCATTTATTTATCTAGGACAAGAGACTATGTTTCTTGTCTGGGACATTTTTCGCTTTAGCGCAGTGTTTGTAAATGAAAATTTTTTTAAATAGCACTATGATTTCGGGGCATTGGCTTCATTTATTTGATTCATAAAATGATGAAAGGACCCTCGCAGTTGTGTTTGCAATGAGGCAGTCGCGAAATAAAAGACTAAGAGAATCCTGGGCTTTAATAGGGTTTCTTTGAAACCTTGATATTCATTTTTCGGGTTTCTTTAAAACAATGTCTTAATAATTGTAAACACAACTGCGATTGCTACCTTTTAGTCATAGATCAATTATTATCTATGATTCCTTCAATACAATGTGCTTAATTGATCATTCCGTCGCTTCTTACTTTGTTGGATAAGGCAGCATCCACACTACGCCGGAGAAATTTAAACAAGCAGCTTTATTTCTACTGTTTGCCCTCCACACTGATCCGTCACGAAAACGGAGCTTTTCGAAAACGCTCTTCAAACCGGAGGAATTTGAAAACGGCGGTTTTGCGTTTTAGTGTGGACGGAAGACCTTTTGAAAACGGAGCTTTTCCAACACGATTTAGTCACGACAATCGTGCGATTTCCCCGTCTGAGTTTTCCTCAAACACAAATCCAAAACGGCCGGTGATTGTTGCGTTTTCAAATTCTTCCGGCGTAGTGTGGACGGAGCCTAAAATTTGCTACAAAACGTTGTCAACCCAGACAGTCATGATAACGCGATACCGTAACGCCTAAATTGAGTCAAAAAAATCCTTTCTGATATGACGTAGCACAGTGTCTGTTTAACAAATCGACTTCAGTTTTTCATGCGTCTGTCCTGTTAT